CCCCACCACCCCCCATGTCACCCCAGAGGGCAGAGACCATGCTCTGGTGATTTCTATCTGTCCATAAATGGAATCTAGCCAGCATAGAGCAGGAGCTCAGTACATTTATTTAATGGTCGGATGAATGGACAATTCACTGTTTGAGTCAAATGGCCTTTTCTAGTAGAGAGAGCAGTTTTATTCTTTTGAAGCAATTGAGGAAGCTAAAAAAATCAACTCCAGGCCGGGCGCGGTGGTGCATGCCTATAATACTAGCACTTTGGGAGGCAGAGGTGGGAGGATCACTTGAGTCCAGGAGTTTGAGACCAGCCTAGGCAACATAGTGAGAACTTGTCTCTACAAAAAATAAAAATTGGCCGGTGTAGTGACTCACAACTGTAGTCCCAGCTACTCTGGAGGCTGAGGAGGGTGGATCACTTAAGCCCAGAAAGTCAAGGCTGCAGTGAGCTGCAGTCGTGCCACTGCACTCTAGCCTGGACAACAGAGACCCTCACTCAAAAAATGAACAAACAGCTGGGTGCGGTGGGTCACGCCTATAATCCCAGCAGTTTGGGAGGTCAAGGTGAGGGGATTGCCTGAGCCCACGGGTTCGAGACCAGCCTGGGCGACTTGGTGAGACCTCATCTCTACAATAAATCAAAAAATTAGCAGGGCGTGGTGGCACACGCCTGTAGTTCCAGCTACTTGGAAGGCTGAGGTGGAAGGATCACCTGAGTCCAGCAAGTTGAGGCTGCGGTGGCCGTGAGCGTGCCACTGCACTCCAGCCTGGGTGATGGAGTGAGACTCCGACTCAAAAATAAAAAAAGAATAAACAAACAAACAAAATCAGTCACAAAGGCTATAAGCTCTGGACCACTTCTCCCAGCTAACCCCAAGGAGCAGCTGCCCAGGGACCCCAGCCCAGAGTCAGGAGCCAGGTTGCTTGCATCCCCGCCTTCCCTCTCATGCCCTGTGGTTTTGGGTAAGTCATTTCTTCGTTCTTAGATCAATGCAGGGGAACAGCCCACCTGAACAAAGGAGGCTCCATAGATGTTAGCTCCCTTCCTCTTTTCCTTCTTCCCCCCCCCCCCCATCTCTTTGGCTTTTTTTCTTGTTTAGGAACTTGAAGCGGATCATGGCAAGTACCTCCCAGGGTTGCCATGCAGAGAATAGGTGGACTAGGACTTCGGAGTCCCTGGCAGCAGGGAAGAGGAAGAGAGGTGGAGTATCCAGTGGAGAACTTCACAAACGCCACACACATGCGGCTGGCTTTGAGGAAAGAAGTCACGGAGGTGGGCCTGTGTCTGCTGAACAGACATCTGTGCAGAGAAACTAAGGAGACCCTGAAGTGTCCTTGGGCTTGGGTGGGTGGAACACGTCTGTGACAGACAGGCTTCCCTGCCAATCAGAAGGTAGCTAACTCTTATGGGCTGAGGTGCAGCCATAGGGGTGAAAAGGACTGTTGGAAAGTGACGGGGATGAGATGGCTCTTGGCGGAGCCCACCGGTCACAGGAGGGGAAACAGAGGCAGCGAGGGGAGTCTGTGGAGCCTCTTGCAGAAGGCTGGGGCACTGCTTCCCCCGACTGCCACTCCCCGGCGATCCGTTTCCTGCAGCACCTGTCGGAAGAGGCGGGAGGAGGGCCTGGAGTCGTGGAGCGGTGCCTTCCACGGGGTGGAAGCGGTGAAGTAATCAGGCACGGACACTGCTGCCACCTACTGGGGAGCGCTTGCCATTTTTCTCGGTACCCAGTCCACGGTCATTCTCAGCTGAGCGCGGCAGAGAGTGGGGAGGGAAGGAGGGGCCCCCTGTGCCCCTGAATTTAGGGACACAGTGCAAAGGGGGGTCTCAGGAAGAAAAACACCCACCCCTGAAAGGTGTTCGTTGCCTTCTAACGCTTCCCCTCTGCCAGGCTGCCTCTTCTGTATAAGGGGCAAAAGCACTTGCCTCATAGGGTTATTGTGATTTTTGTTCGCTTTTTAATTTTTTTTTTTTTTAGTCAGCGTCTCACTCTGTCTCTCAGGCTGGAGTGCAGTGGCATGCTCACCTTCTGCTTCAACTTATTGGTTTCTATAATGTTAAGCAGCTATGAAAAACTCATAACTCATTTTCCTGAAGATACTGAAAGTCTTTTCTTTTTTTTTTGAGTTGGAGTCTCACTCCGTTGCCCAGACTGGAGTGCAGTGGCTGCTCCCGG